TTTCTTGCCTAAAAGTTGCTGTTTTTGACAGCTCAGCACCTATGGATCTGACTCAGAGAGAAATACGCCACAACTGAACCAACAACAACCACCTCCTTGGTTTTGGCGTAGAGGTACTTACTTTTACACCTAAAACTAGACACAGCCCACCCAGACTAATCTAAAAGAGGACATCTGCTGAAAAGGCAAGGCAGCAAGTCACACGAATTGAATGGGAAGACTAGAGATTAACTCGTGAACTTGGCAGGAACAGATCCCATGACGGGAGCTGGAACAGCTGGATCTTGGCTGGTGCCATTCCTCAAAGGAAACTGATAAATCCTGAATTTTCCATTTATGTGTAACAGCTGTGTCTTTGTCCCTACAGAGAGTTTGTGATAAATTTCTAAGTGTTGCTAAATTAACTCTTACTACATCAGCTTGAAGGAAATCTGTTGTATCAGAAGAATTAACACACATCCTAGGGATAGAAATATATCTAAGACTAAACTAAGTAAAATGCTGTGAACTTAATCTTGTGAAAGGTTCTACTTAGCTAAGAAAGAAACTAGAAAACAGTTTATTTTAGAGCACTTTATGCTTCTGATTGTACTGAATCAAGAGTTTGGGAAGCTTAATGCCTGTTTACCTTTAGAGGTCAGAATTCTTGGAATTCTAACGTGTAGAGAAATCTGTAAGAATGAGAAGACCGTTCAGTTTTCAGGTCTATTGTCTTAAATTATCTCCTCTGTGATGGACCCCAGTAGTTTCCGGGGTGCACTTTAGAGTAGCTTCTGCTTTCATCACTTTTGACAATTAGGAAGCTTTTTGTTGTTCTCAAGATAAATAACCCCTCCAATGACCACCTTGCAGGGCCACTGTGATTACTTGGTTACTGGATCTTCTCATCTCAGTGAGTAGAAAACCACAGGGTAACAATTTCAAGTCACTCACTAAACCACATTAAGACAGACACAGCAAAGTCTAGAGCTTTAAAACCATTCTGACTAGTGTCAACGTGACTAGTCTTGCCCACAGTTATGACAGAAGCAAACGCTGTATGCATTCTCCTTGCTTTTCTCCGCCACCTTTACTGACAGTTGCCAAATCAACACTATTGTAGAAGACATCATGATTCCCACTGTATGTATTTTGTCACATCCTGAGGTGAGAAGAGTAGGGTTAAACCCCTCTTCTTCTCTCTACAAGATCAAGGTCATCCAAAATTACCCACTATTTCACTGTTCTGGAAATATTTAAAATGCCACTTCAGTAGATTCCCCAAGTATGGCATCACCCCTTGAGTTGACAACAGACTGGTAGGAAAGAAAGACAAGAACAATGGAAGAAGTCAAAGTCCCAAGGAGTCAGTCCTTTACAGCTTTATTCTTTTGCCTAGGAAACCTCAGCCATTCCCCTGATTTAACTGCTACCTGTATGCCAATGACACCCAGATCAACATACCCGCACAGACCCCTCCAGGCTGCAGACCCATAATCCCAATGGTGTAGTGAGCATCTTCACCTCAATTTCTCTTGGGCAACTCGAACTAGATAAGACTAAATCTGAACCTATATTACTTTTTCTCAGAACTTGCTTTTCTCCTCTTCCCCCTTTCTCATCCAAAATAGAAACCTACGTGTCAGCTTTGACTTCTCCCCCTCCTCCACTCCTCAGTCTGATCAGCCTCAGTGTCAGACTTGACTCCATCCCCTCCGTTCTGTTATTGCCAGGCCCTCATTATCACTTGCTTGGTGTCTTACAGGGCCTTCTAACTGGTCTGTGTCCACCAGTCCTGGCCCCCTCAAATCCAGCCTCTACGCTGCTGCCAGAGAGATCTCTCTCGAATTCAAATCTGATTGTGTCTCTTCTTAAATCTCTTCACGGCTTCCCACTGCTGACAGCAGTATGGCATAGAAGGCACGTATCATAATACTTCTTGCCTTTCCTAGATTACTGTGCATGTCTGCAAGATATAGAAGGAACACACCAAACCCCTTACACATTATTACAAATACTTACTTACACTTCTGCCTCCTGGACTGTCACTCATTAAAGGCACAGGCAATTTTGTATTCAGTTTGATAACCCTGATGCCTAGCATAGATACCATCTAGTACACTGTATACTCAAAAGATATCCGCTATTCTTGAAGAGGTTCCAAGATTTATTCAACTACAAAAAGGAGGAGAGAGAGAGCACCACCACACCCAGACTTATTTATCCTGCAAAACTCACACGCATATAATATCAATATAAATATATCTTGTCAGATAATCCGTCAGATGGTTGAACATTCCTTTCTCTGAAGTCTGTTTTAGTCCCTTCAGAAATCCAAAGGTCTTCACTCAGAAAAAATTTCCAAAAACTATCTGTATAGCACAAAACACCACAACTGCCCAGTACTGCTACATCACTTCCGTGGGGAAGGTTACAGAGTGCTTATAACTGGCTACTGGTATTGGAATTATGACTGTGGTTTGTGTATATTTGTGTGTGTATGTATGTGTGTGTGTGTGTGTGTGTATTTATATGTATGTATATACACACACACACACCCTCTTAGGTACATGTCTTATCTACTCCCCTAAAGAGACAGAAGTGGATCTGTGTCCTGTTTACCGCTCTACTCCCTGCATCATTCCCCACAGTGTCTGCTCAACAGACATACAATCCCAGTTACAATAATGAGGCATTAATTAAGAGTACTGGCCAGGAGCTAGGACCCCAACTGCTGTGATTAAGAGGTAAAAAAAGAGAAGTCCTTGTCCTTAATGAGCTTATATATAAATGAAAAGTAATATGAGGAGGAAGTAACAATTTTGGCACTTGACATAAATTAAGTTACTCCTCACAAAAACTGTAAGGTAGGATCATTACTGTCTCTACTCTGTAGGTGAGGGAACTAACGCAGAATAATTTTCCCAAGAACACACGCCTCGTAAGTAGCAGAGCAAGCATCTGTACCTAGGTTGGGAGCCCGTGTTCTCAATTAGTAGTCTATACTGCAAGTGGTTTTGTTATGTCAAATTTGAAAGAAGCAGCTTAAAAACTGAACATTTTTATATTTCCATCCCAATGATCTTCAGACAACTGCAAAATATAAGGAGGTTTTTTTTTTTTAAACTGTTGTTTCATAGCTTTGCAGAGAAGGCAGTAAAGTGCACTGAATTAGAGCTCGTGCTCTGCTGTCCAGACTGCCTGGCGTGCCACCCAGGCTCTGCCTCATATGAGCTGTGTTTTCTTGGTTACTTTATTACTTCCTCAGAATTTCAGTTTTTGCATTTGTGAAATAAGGAGTATAATACTCTCCATTTTATAGGGTGAATGTGAAGATTAAATGATGTAAAACCTGTAAAATCCTTAATAAAGACTTAATGAATACCAATACTAGTAAATTCACAGCAATAAAAGCCAACAAAGAAAAAAAAAACTACAAAAACAGAAAGCATTATCACAAAAGATCCAGAATTGCCAAAGAAATCCTGAAGGAAAAAAAAAAAGAAAGCTGGAGGTATAATCCTCCAGAATTTAAATAATACTACGGGGCTACAGTAATCAAAACAGCCTGGTATTGGTAAAAAAACAGACGTATGGATTAATGGAACAGAATAGAGAACCCAGAAATAAACCTGCACACCTATGATCAATTAGTCTTCAATAAAAGAGGCAAAAATAACACAATGGAGAAAAGACAGTCTTTTCAGCAAGTGGTGTGGGAAAAGCTTGACAGCCTCATGTTAATCAATGAAGTTACACTCCCTCACACCATATACAAAAATAAGCTCAAAAGATTTAACATAAGCCAGGACACCATAAAACTCCTAGAAGAACACAGGAAAAACATTCTGTGACACAAATCATAGCAGGTCAGTCTACCAAGACAATAGAAGTTTTAAAAAAATCTAATCAAACTGAAAAGCTTTTGCACAGCAAAGGAAACCGTCAACAAAATGAAAAGACACAGAATAGGAGAAGATATCTGCAAATGGTGCAACTGACAAAAGCTTAGTTTCCAAAATATACAAACAGCTTATACAACTCAATAATAAAAAAAAAAAAACCAATCAAAAAAAGGGGCAGAAGACCTAAATAGACATTTCTCCGAAGAAGACATCCAGATGGCCAACAGGCACATGAAATGATGCTCAACATCACTGATTATTAGAGAAATACAAATTAAAACCACAATATGGTATCGCTCACATTGGTCAGAATGGCTATCATCAAAAAAATCTACAAATAAATGCTGGAGAGGATGTGGAGAAAAGGGAACCCTCCTATACTGTTTGTGGAAATGTAAATTGGTGCAGCCACTGTGTTCCTTAAAAAACTAAAAACAGAGTTACCATATCCAGCAATCCCATTCCTGGGCATTTATCGGGAGGAAACCCTAGTTCAAAAAGATTCATGCACCCCAATGTTCATAGCAACAGTATTTACAATAGCCAAGACATGGAAGCAACCTAAATGTCCATTAACAAATGAATGGATAAAGATGTGTTGCATGTGTGTGTGTGCGCGCGCACGCACACACAATGGAGTACTACTTAGCAGTAAAAAAGTGAAATAATGTCACTTGCAGTAACATATATGTACCTAGAGATTATCACACCAAATGAAGTAAGTCAGAGAAAGAAACATCCTATGATATCACTTATGTATGGAATCTAAAATATGATACAATGAACTTATTTACAAAACAGAAACAGACTTATTTACAAAACAGAAACAGACTCACAGACATAGAAAAAAAACTCTTGGTTACCAAAGGGGAAACAGAGAGAGGGATAAATCAGGAGTTTGGGATTAGGAGATACACACTACAGTATGTAAAACAGATAAACAACCAAGTCCTACTGTATAGTACAGGGAACTACATTCAACATCTTGTAATAACCTATAATGAAAACACTATTCATATATGTATAACTGAATCACTTTGCTGTACACCAGAAAATAACACAACGTTGTAAATCAACTATACTTCAATTAAAAAAAATACAGAAAGCATTACTTACAGAAGCCAGTAATCTTCCATCTTCCTTCATAGCAAGGTAACGGTTTGCACACACTCCTTTGATAGACACGACCCCTCTCTCTTCTGCTTGAAGTTGTAGTTTGACTATAAGTAATGGGGAAAAAAATTACCTTTGTAGCATCATGGAAAAAAGAGCTATGTACACATTTATATAGTATATAGGGTACAGACAAAAGACACTTGGACAATCAACAGATCTACCCTAGAGACCTGGGGCGGGGGCAGGCAGGGGACAAAAGCCAGATGTCAATTAAACTCTCTTAGAGAGGAGAGGCAGGTCCACTAGCGCATGAGAACCCCTTGACTCCATACTGACGCCAATGTCAGAGAGCAAAGAGGGGCAGGTGAAGATTTTTTCCTTTGATACATTTGGCAGTTAACTACTTAAACTTCTTTAAGTTTTAGAGTATATAAACCCACCTGTGAGGACTTCCACACTACTGCCTAAGTTCAAACCCTTTAAAAGTTATTTTTAACCAGTTCTTTAAAAATAATATAACTGCTATTATCTTTTAGTTTGTACTTCTTTGAGTTTCTGTGCATCTTATTTTTAGCTTCCCCTTCAATACAATACCAGTGCATATCCTTCTTTTTGGAGGGGCTGTGATGTATAGATTTTTTAAAGTAAGTATCTAGTGGAAAAACAAAATACTTATACTTAATTTGCTTATACTGTGTGATGAAAGATTTTCAGAATGTAAAATCCTGAAAAGAATGACCTGTGTTACACTACATTATCAATACTAAGCAGATTGTAGGGAAACAAAAAAATTGGTATGACATGATTATGACAATAATGCCATACGGACAAATAATCACCTAATTAATTAAATTAAAGTTTAAAATTTGTTTTGCTCTTCAGAGGCAGCATTCTCCTCCCCAAAACAGCATTCCCCAAAATGTATTTTGGCTAACAGAGATGACTTTAAAAACAGGTTCGGCGGCCAAATAAATTTAGGAAGTTCTTGGTGAAGTCAAGTTAACTCTTTATTGTCAAACTTCTCAGAACTCTGCTTCTCATAACCTGCACTGTACATCACCATAAGAGGATCAGGTATACAGTGTTTATAAAATGTGCTTGGTCTCAGAACAAGTTTTTCATAGGCCTTCCTATAGTATTATTGAGAGCAACAGAAAAAAATTATTAACTTTGTTAGATATAATTATGTCATAGTAATTATGCTTTAAACTTTTCCTATCAGGCCAAGTAAAAAACAAGACATTTAGCCTTAAAAAATTCCAGTAACCAATTAATGTTTTTATAAAGTGGGCAAGATAAACAAGATTGATTAACCTATGTCAATATTTATTAGAAGCATGGGAGTTCATTATTCTATTCTCACTACTTTGAGTGTTTGAGAATTTATATAGTTTTTAAAAAAGACATTCATTGTACATTTAATGTCTGATTTTCCTCTATGTACCTGCCAACCCAGGTAAAATTCTACAGTTTTTTGAATCTTATAAGATACACAAAGTTAAAGGAATATAATCAAGACTTGTAAACTAAACAGAGAGGACATAAAGTCTTTTCAACATTACGAGAAAATGTAGAAATCAGCTTTATTTTTAAAAAATACAATCAAAATCCTTTTAATGACTATGAATACATCCTTTTATGTAGCTCTAAAGTGGTCTAGATAAGTCATATTAGTTATGAATACATCTGCATCTCTTTTTAACTCATGAGGTTGTATAAATAAGCCAAGACGGCATAATCAATCACTATACTTTATTTGGTGTTTTATCAATAAACTTACCCAAATTCCAGCCCACCATCTTGTAAATGTGTATTACTGGTCACAAGGCAGATTATTAATATTAATCTATGGCCAATACCAGTGACTCAACACCCAACGTGAATGTCATTATTCATTTATTCATTGATTTTTGACAGATTTCTTGGCTACTCCAAATTAGGATACTGTCATTCAATAAGCCACTAAAAAAAGCATTAATTGTAGATGCTTGAAAAGTATTTCCATTGCTATATAATCATAAAAATATAAACTTTAAAAATAACCAGAGCCTAAAACAAGAAGATAGATAAGCCACAAAATCATAGATTTTCTTAAAAAAAAATTCTGAGATGCAAAGAGACCTAAATGAACTAAATTACACACACACATGATTCCGTCCCAAAAAAGAGATGACCTGCTGCTTTCATCTCTGACAGGTGGAAGACCAAATCTGCTCAAAAGGGCAGTTTGGAGAAACCAGCTGAACTTTTAAAAACGTTTAATAGCTGCCAATATGAGGAGTTAGAATTCGGTGGAGCCCTAATCAAAGAGCAGCTCCAAGCCACCTGCCAGTTCTCTCCTACAGAGCTTGCACCTAGTGCACAACCAAGATACCAGGGGCAGGGACAGAACAGAAGAACTGAGAGAGCCTCCTGAAGCACCTAAGGCCTTTTCTGCAAAGCAATAGTCCACTGAAGGCTGGGAGCAGGAAGGAGCTGACAGAGAGCCCTCTGAGATGCACTGAGCCTTTACCAAATGCAAAGCAGGACGAAGGGAGAGCTTCCAAGACAGGGAAAACACAGGGTAGAGTTCAAGAGCAAGATGAACTCCTGACCTACCTAGACAGTTAACAGCTGGGCTCTAAGGCAAACAGGGATACAAAAAAACTACTCAATCTAAAAGAAGGCAGGAAAGGA